TAATTGTTGTGATGTCTCAGGACAGAGACAATGTCAAGGATTATTTTCTGACATTCATTCGAAATATTTGAAGAACTGGATCAAAGTGAAGGCAAAAAAACATGATCTTGACACTTCAATTAGAGAGGATTTGCTCAGTTTCTGAGAACTGGCTGTTTTAGCAGATAATGAATTTCGCTTGATATTTATTTTAAATACTACAAAAAGCAATCGAATGATCAGGGACAGCCTGAAGGCCTTGCATCACAATTAATTAAATTTAACTTACTAGTGCTCGTGGAGGTTGCGTATGAAGCGCAGTAATCCCAGTGGGGTTTCAGGATAGGCTTTGTTTTTGCCATCCATCTTCTGAACAAGCTCTTGTGGAAGCTGTAACACCAAAAAACTTTCCGTCACAAAAGGAAATTTCGGAATACACATGTCAAAGCTGGTCAGTAGCACTCACCTTGTTTTTCCACTGTTTGTAGGATCCGTCCTCCAGACATTCTTCCAGCAAACTAAGGAATTCCGGATCAGGATTTCGACAGTTTGCCACCTCCTCTCTGTTACCAATCCTTTTCAAGTACTCAACTTGCCTAAAACAAAATTGAATTATGCTTTAAGTGCAAAATAAAAAACAAATCATATATGATCCTAAATTAAAAAAAAAGGGTGGGGAAATGGAAAGAAATGCAAATACAATGTCTATAAAAAGTATTCACCCCCATTGGAGGTTTTTATTATTTTTCCACATTGAATCATGGTCATTTTAATCCGGATTTTTGGACAGTCATTTACAAAAAGATAATTCATTTAAAACTTTAGATGTAAAATAAGTGATTGTGTAAGTATTCCTCCCCTTTAAAGTGACCCATCGAGTTCAGCACAGGGTTTGTCAGTTGGTGCTAGAAGTCACAGTATGAATAAAATAGAGATCATCAAGCGCAATGAATGTGTCATAAGTAATTTGTGTACGAAAAAAAACCCCTGTATCTGGATGGTCCACTGACTGATGAATCAGTTCTCCTGGCGATAATTACACCTTGAAGAAACTCGAGACGATAATGAACTCCGTGAAAAGGTTCTTGAAAATCACAATTTAAGGGATGGAAACAAGAACAGACACTGAAAATCCCGAGGAGTACAGTTGAATCCATCATTAAGAATTGATAGAAATATGAAATCTGCCTCGAGCAGGTCGTCCTCAAAAACTGAGAGAGCGAACTAGAAAGAGACAGTGAGG